ACGTGGGTCAATAGATTGAGAAAAATCTATGGAAATGAATAAGATGATGCATTTGAAAATAATACTTACCTCCGACAGAATTTAATTTTATTTGTACTATTTATCTGCAAAAGCATTTAGTATTTGTGTAATCATACTTTTGAACATTTTCCTTTAATTTTTCCCAGAAATGAAAATAGAAAACAAAGTGATCACATTTGTTTTCTTGTACATTCTTACGCTTTCTTTTTCTAACTTGTAACTCTCTAATCTAATGTAGAGTTTATCAGGGCACATAGGGTGAGGTACAAAGCTAACTTTATATTTTCTTCTAAAAAAACATGATCAGTTAACCTAAAGACGTCCACGGAATGATTCTTCCCTTTCCTCACTGACTTGTACTCTTTGCAAGTTTATATTAAAAAGCTCTCCCTCCTACCTGGCCACTCATAGCTGTGCCGTCTGCAGAAAGTAATCTGAGAGACAGGATAGCATTACTTTGCCTTTTTTCAAGAAAAAAAAATGGTTGTTTAAGTGACACAGCATCGACCCTGAAGCATTATGGTTATATCCTGATTGTGAAAGCAAAATACAGAAGGTTGGTTGCCAACGGGGTTCTGCAGTGTGGACAGTGGTGGAGCATCTGAAAATTTGGTCCTGAGACAATAGGCAGCCTGGGGATGAGGAAGGAGCACTCCCGCTGGCAGATGATGAGTAGGAGCACTCCCGCTGGTGGGTGGTCAGGAAGGGGCACTCCCGCTGGTGGGTGATGAGGAAGGAGCACTCCCGCTGGTGGGTGATGAGGAAGGAGCACTCCTGCTGGCGGGAGATCAAGAAGGGGCACTCCCGCTGGTGGGAGATGAAGGCAGCACTGCGCTGCTGATGCACTGGACCAGCCGTGGGGGAGGCCTGGGGGGCATGCCCTCCTGGTGACAGTTCCAGAATCACTGGGGGCTTTCTTTGCAAGGAGCACCTTAGGCACGCTCCCCATGCTGCCCCCACGTCCCCACAGACCCCAGGTGGTCGGGTCTCTGGGCCACATGCAGTTTCCTTCCTCTTGCCTCACTCCCGACATAGGTTCACATCGGTGCTTCACCACCCAGACCTGCACCGTGTTCCAAGCGTGATAGTTTACATGGGAAATGGAAGTCGTTACTTAGATTTCTTTCCAGTTTGCACCCAAGTTTCATGATCTTTATTGTTATTTACTTAAAAGAACTCCTTTAGGAAAATAATAATTTCAATTTTGGGGTGGCTCAGTCTGATCCAGGAAGAGCCCGTGCGTGGCTTAACTGAGGTTTCCCTGCGCTGCACACTGTGCGGGGAAGGGGCTGCTTGCTTCACTGCTGCCGCCTTCCGGTGAGCCCCCTTATCGGGGCGCAGACTCCTGCAGAGGAAGCAAGTCTGTCGAAGGAGGCAGCGAACATTAAACCACCCACGGTTTGTTACACTTTACATTTAGAAATCAGTGCATTTTTGTTCATGTGTCTGTTTGGATCAAAGCACTAAAAGAACACCTTTTCCTCCTAATTTTTAGAGGTTTTCACGAGACTCTAAGATAATCATTTGCATGTTTTTACTTCGAGTAGGCAGGGATGTGCTAAGCGGCCGGCTGGATTTCCCTGACCTCAGGGAGCACCGGGCAGTGTGCAGGACACCTGACCACTCTTTTCTTGTTCCGTTTCAGCGCACAGACCTGGGATATTGGAATATTGGACATCTTTGGCTTTGAAGAATTTCAAAAGAATGAATTTGAGCAAGTAAGTGGGTTTTCTTTTAAAATTTTGTTTCAAAAGAATGGTTTTTCCAACCGATAAGTCATCTCT